GCAGGAAATAAATATAGACATGGGTAAAAACACACTTTTTATTAAAAGACAGCCTTGTACTTGGCACTGAGGAAGAATTTAAGAAGGGTTCCATTGTCAAATATACAACAGGGAGCAAATTCTTCACCATTCATGGCTGGTAAAGTAATAACAGCACCCCAGAGAGCATGCCACTCTCCTAACTTCACTCTGTGCTTCACAGACAAGACTTTTGTAAGTCTACACATAATTACTGCAAATGGCCTCTGTGGAATAATTGCACATGTGAAAACATATTTTTAGATACAAAAATGCAAATGTGACTGAAAAGCGTGGCAGCACTCTGTAAATATATGTTTGGATTAATCTTCAAATGCAAACAGATGTCTTGCCTGGGAACATATTTTTCAACAGGACCAGAGAGTTTACAACCCACGGTGAACAGTGGTTAAGGCACCTAGGAGCCTTAATTTATAAAGGCTATTCCTAAAAGTTTAACCAAATTTTGAAGATGGTCCTTAAGCTCTCCTAAAAACATCACTTCCCAGTTGCAAGGATAGAATTCAGCAGCCCAGCCAAAGTACTTGGGAATCTGTCACTGACACCCAGGCTGCAAGATCTCATCTCAACATAAGGACAGAATGCATGCCAAACGGACCTCTTGGGTTTTAATATTCAAGACTTTCTCCTCCCTCCCTCAGCTACTTCAGATCACAGTGACCAGCACGCAGAAACAAGGAAAGACACTTGGCAGGTATGAACTATCTTAACTCCAGTGTTGTCAATGGAGCCAGGGAAGCTAGTTCCTGCTAAGCATCCACTGCCCACGCTCAAACCATCCCTGCAGTCCTGATCAACAGCAAGAGCGTTGTGGAGAAGGCAATGCCCCTTAACCAGGGCACAGTACATTACCAGTACAAGCACTCCATATTGGAGCAAGGCTTCAGATAAGTGCACGCACTAAGAAAATAATATCACTGTCTATTTGCATAGCACATGAGCATGTTCAAAGCAGAGTGCAGCCCTTTATTAATTAAACCTTGGGAGGCAAGTGGTGAAACAGCACTATTCATCTGCTTTTAGGAGACAAGGAAATTGAAATGGAAAGCTGATGTGACTCCTAAAGGAAACACAAGCAGTAGCATCCCATAAATTGCTGCCTGTCTCTTGCTCCTAAACTGTGCAACACACCACTGGAGTGCCTTGCTCAACAAACCATCTGATTATTAAAGGCTGATTTTGGATACCTTTCCCCATGTTCAGTTGCTACTTTTCCCCTCAGAAAGAGCCTCAGGGAAGTGAAAGGTTCAAAGACATCTCAATAAATACTTTTTACCCTGCACCACCTGCCTGGCGATCCACACAATCCCCAAGTGGATAGGCGCCACATCTCAAAGGCAAGAGCGCACAGCCTTGCCGGTGACCCAGTCTGAAAGGCAAAGCAATGAGTGATCACTGTCAGCAGACTGTCACTGTCAGAGGCGGCATCCCAAAGCAGGATTAGCAAAGCAGCAGGACAGTGTTCGTTCCAGCTCTTCCCCTCTAAGTAAAGGATTTCCGCCAGCCAAGCCTCTTTCACCCGCATCAGTCTGCTCAGACCGTGTCAGCAAGGGTACATGGGCTTAAGTATACTGATGTGAAGAAAACAACACAGACAAGAAAGCAGTCCAGTACTTTTTTTTTAGTGTTTCATACAAACACTATGAGTCATGATTGCATTGTAGGTATTTATTACATATTTCATTGTTTTCAGCAAAATAAGATCCTGAGTTGTTTGTTATGGTATCAGGTTGTAAAACAAGTCGAAGTATTCTAAAATACCAATAATGGAATTTCTTTAATGAAATGTATTTTACTCAGAAATATATACCAGAAAATACATTTCCAAAGCGTGCATATGCTTTTAACACCAGACAGAGCTGGCTCCGTTTTTCAAAACCCCACTTTGCAGGACTGCTGCCAGATATGGTACATGATGAATCTGAACAACTTACGCCTAATAAGAAATAATCTCAATTGAGAAATACCTTATGAAAGAACTTGTTTGTTCATTCTTTAGGTCCTTTTCTTTCTTGCTTGCCTGCTTACTTTCGTTGCTTTCTCTGAAAGCAACAGCTCCACAGTGTGCAACATCAAAATTTATTAAGGGTCACAGCCTATGAATCAAGAGTCAGGCAAACGCAACATGCTTTTTTACATCAGCTCCATTAACTACTCCAAATATTCCAGCTCAAGATCTGCAGAGAAATGCTGTTAGTCCCTTCGGTACTCTCCGAACAGTGTACTTATACCTCTACCACACTTTCTCAATATATTTTACTGGTTTTAAGACTCTGATAATTTAATTACAGTATTTTTAGTAACTTTACTAGTGGAGGAATTTGTATTTTCCCTAGCTTCCTGTCTTAATGAGAATTTCAGATAACTCCAAGACCTTACACTCAGACAGAGTAGCATATCAGATTCTTAGTAATGAAATCTAAAGCCTCTCACCCCAACAAAACAGGTTCAAGTTCACCCAAAGCCCCTATAGACACAGTATCCAGTCTGGTAAAACACTTTCGCACAAGCCTAACTTCACACATGTGAGCGGTCCATTGACTTTCGTGGGATAGCTCACACATGTAAGAAGTTAAATACATGCATAAGCACCAAGGTCAGAGCTCAAAACCAGGCCATGCGATGGTCCCCCCAGGGATCCATACTGGCTGCACGCACCAGTAACATCCTCGGTATCTCTTCTGCAGCTCTGATGGCAACACGGTCCCACACACGGGGTTAGAGGAAGAGAAAGGACCACCAGAGATGGACTGAAACCATCTCCACCTGCACTGCCAGTTCTGGTACCAGCCTCTGCTCAGAAGCAGGTAGAGAGAATACACTCCAAAATGTATAGCACAGGGGAGAGAAAGCAGAGGGTTGTGAGCCTCTCATATTGCCAGGCATTTCCAAACGGCTCTGCATGAGCACAGCCCCCGCTCCACTGCTGCTCTGCCTTCCAGAAGCAGAAAGGAAAGAGGGAGCACAGCTTTTGGCTTCCCATCCTTCCATGAGTCAGCTTGTAGAGTTTGCTGGGCAGGAAATGTGGAGAAATAAGCTGCTCTCTTCAAGGCTGCAATAAATTACCTGTCTCCACTTGTTGGAAAGAAGATTTATACGCACTCT